ATGGAATGACGTGTTTGTGCAGCAAAGCTCTCTATGTGTGAAACGCCACTTCACAAATAGAAATGCTGTTGAGTTCCTTTAAATAACTTGCTCTCCTTGAATGTGTGAATACAAGGGTTCAATTTACAGAAACTGGTTTTAAGTAGAACTTTTTGGTATGTCTCTATCAGAGAAAAATCCTCCCATGGTGGGCAGGCCTGGTGCAGAGGAGGAAGGCGGCCCGGCCCGCCTGCAGAACCCTCAGGCAGGGTGTGGATCAGGAGCGGCACCGACGCTTAGCTACTTTCCCTGTGAGGTGGAAGGGTTTGAGCTCCTGGCTACAAATGAGTCAAAGCATCACTTGATACTCTGATAATCCTAAATTCACTCAGCCTCTAACTAACTGAGCGCTTCCGCAGTGAATTACCCCAATAAAACGAGATCTAACTCAATAAAGGAGCAGAGAGACAGCAGCTTCCTCCACCTGGGAAGGGCAGAGATGGTCTTCAGCTCACTGGGAACTGACCCATGGGCGCCCTGGCTCCTCTGCACAGGGAGCTGAGCAGAGAGACCTTCAGAAGCCCTGCTCAGCACAGAGTCCATTCTCCCCACCAGGACCGCCAGCAGCCGCAGAGATAAGCAGCCTGGCCAGCTCACAGGTACAGCTCAGCCTGCTCCCTGCTCTGCACCCGCAGCTCCAAGGCACTTTCCAGACAGGACATTCCTCTAAAGTCAGAACTCTCCTCTCTTCATGAGGGGGTAATTCGAGAGCCCGAGTGATGGACTTTCCAAGGTGATGACGAGTTTAGTGGTTGGCTATAAATAAAACTCGGGACCTCGATCGACTCCAGCTCTCTGCAACCATCTTTCCTACACACTCTCTAGTTTCTTTCTTTCCTTCTTTCTTTTTAGCTTTTTCTATAGGGTGTGTGTGCTTGCCAGAGAGACAGAGAGAGAGGGAAAGTGAGAAATCACACCTAGGGGTTCAGGGGCTGGCCATGCCACAGTCCCTTCTCCATTCTCCTCTCGGGATTTGGGGCACACACGCACATGTGTGCTGTATTTTTCAAGCAGCCAGATCTGGGACTTGAACCGTGCAGTCAGTCATGTAGGATCCAGTTGCCTTAACCTCCAGTCCACCTGGCTGGCCCATACTCTGCTTTCTTTACACTGGACGCTCGGGACTTGATGATTTGGCTTTGATGGATATCCTAAGTGGGAGCTCTGTGATGCTCTGAAGGGCTCGGGCTAAGGACAGCTCAGCGGAGGGGTACTGTAGCCTGCTCACGCAGAAATACCACAAATCCCAGAAGCCAGGGAGTCTGTGGCATTCATACTTTAACGTACCAATTTATGTCAGCATACTCCCCTGCCATACTCATTCCCTGCGGAAAGAGGAGCGAGTCCTGCCTTGTGCTGCCAGGTGGCTTTAAAAGGCTGCCTCTTCTCTGAAATCTGACGCTCATCTGCTGACACCAGAGATCTGTTACTAGAGAGTGGGAAGTCAGTTCTTCAGACTCGCCCTCGTCAATCTTCAGCTTCTGGGCCGTCCCCTGAAATGTGTGCAGTACAGCACTGACCGGCCCAGAGGTCAGCTGGGCAGATGGAATTACACTCCGAGAGGACATGGCATGGCTACTTGCTCTACTTTTAGGCATCCATCTACACCTCATGCTCTGCACCTGACAATCCACAGATGAACTCAGGGACGGGATGTGGGCAGAGTGCCCAAGCACACCGGACCTTAGCAGAAATAGCAGAGTAGCTCAGGCTCTGGAGTAGGACTGCTGAGTTCAAATCCTGGTTCAATCCATAACATGCTTAAAAAAAACCTGACATGTGCATGTATAGGTGAGAACGAGAATGAGAGCAGCACCCTCCAGGGAGTCTCCTCATGCAGCACCCTCTCCTTGACCCTCCAGCCTCTCAGGACCCTGTGTGCTCAGGTATATGCCCAGTGTGTTTTAAAGCCAACACAGGGTCCAAACCCTTGGTCACCATATGGCTCCTAGCCTTGTAGAGCACTTGCAATACCACTGTGTCATGGCGGCTTGACCCCTTAGAGGCTTTGTGATCTTTATGTTATTTATTTTTTTTTTTTTTGGAGAGGTTTTTGCTATAGGGCATATGTGCTCGCCAGAAAGACAGAGAGACAGAAAGCGAGAAATCACCCCCCGGGGGCATGGCAATGCCACAATCCCTTCTCCTCCATTCTCCTCTCAGAATCTTGGGCATGCACGCACATGTGCCCGGCATGAGTTTAAGCCACCGGGTCCGGGACTCGAACCATGGTCGATTACATGGGAGTCCACACTCCGAGAGGACATGGCATGGCTACTTGCTCTACTTTTAGGCATCCATCTACACCTCATGCTCTGCACCTGACAATCCACAGATGAACTCAGGGACGGGATGTGGGCAGAGTGCCCAAGCACACCGGACCTTAGCAGAAATAGCAGAGTAGCTCAGGCTCTGGAGTAGGACTGCTGAGTTCAAATCCTGGTTCAATCCATAACATGCTTAAAAAAAACCTGACATGTGCATGTATAGGTGAGAACGAGAATGAGAGCAGCACCCTCCAGGGAGTCTCCTCATGCAGCACCCTCTCCTTGACCCTCCAGCCTCTCAGGACCCTGTGTGCTCAGGTATATGCCCAGTGTGTTTTAAAGCCAACACAGGGTCCAAACCCTTGGTCACCATATGGCTCCTAGCCTTGTAGAGCACTTGCAATACCACTGTGTCATGGCGGCTTGACCCCTTAGAGGCTTTGTGATCTTTATGTTATTTATTTATTTTTTTTTTGGAGAGGTTTTTGCTATAGGGCATATGTGCTCGCCAGAAAGACAGAGAGACAGAAAGCGAGAAATCACCCCCCGGGGGCATGGCAATGCCACAATCCCTTCTCCTCCATTCTCCTCTCAGAATCTTGGGCATGCACGCACATGTGCCCGGCATGAGTTTAAGCCACCGGGTCCGGGACTCGAACCATGGTCGATTACATGGGAGTCCAGCAACATAGCCATTACACCAACTGATGGTCCTCCAAAATTTATTTCATAATGAATGCTAAGGTGGAAGCTCATCACCAGATCGTCCTAAAGAAACCATTTTTCCAAGTCACTCATTAGCCTAAACATCCTAAATATTCCCCACAGTCTATAGAAGAGCCCAAACCTCTCCAGTAATGGAGCCCACCTCCCTTTCTGGCCCCAGGCCTAACTAATATTCTTATTGTTCCAGGGAGGCACACATCATGCCCACTGCAGCTTCGTGTCCCCAGCGCCCCTCGTAGTGCCCGGCACACAGTGGCTGCTCGGTAACTGTTTGCTGATTTAGATAAAACTGGTTTAGGCTTGTCCTCTGTGTGTTAACTCCTGGAAAGCCACTTTTCACGCACTGAGTTAAAACCCAACCATTCTTCAAACACCCACACAGCTCCTCTCGACATAACACCTGAGCAATCAGCTTGTCTCTCTCTTCAGCCACCTTCAGTTCCTGCAGAAGTCAGTCCCCTTCAGGTCTTTATTGTGATGTAAATATTTCTTGTTTATGAGTTTTGTCTACCCAACTAAGCCAGGGTTTCTTGAAGGAAGCAGAACATTTTTTTTTTTTAAGATTTTTTTTGCTTGGACCAGCAGTTAGCATAATGGCTATGTCACTGGACTCCCATGTAGTCACCACGGTTCGAGTCCTGGACCTGGTGGCTTAACCTCAGGCCAGGCGTGTGTGTGTGAGTGCCCAAGATCCCGAGAGGAGACTGGAGAAGAAGGGATTGTGGCGTGGCCATCCCCCCTGGGGGGTGATTTCTCACTTTCTGTCTCTCTGTCTCTCTCTGTCTGTCTGGCGAGTGCACACGCCCTATAGCAAAAACCTCTCCAAAAAAAAAAAAAGAAAGCCTCAAGCAGGGGCAATGAAGGTACTTAATAAAAGGCCACAGGAAGAGGGGGCCAGACAGCAGTAAAACACGACCCTCTGCAAGGCCCCATGAGGGAAGGTTCTGGGTTTGCATCTGACTATGTCAGCATGCACAGGCAGATGCATGCTGTGCCCATGCTCCGAGGCTGGCTGAAGATGGGTGGACTGTAGCATCAAGACCACTAGGGGACAAGCAGATGATGTAGCGGTTACATCACTAGACTCCCACATGGCCAATAGTGGTTCAAGTCCCAGACCCAGTGGCTTGAAACTCATGCCAGGTGTGTGTGCATGTGTGCCCAGGATCCTGAGAGGAGAATGGAGAAGAGGGGATTGTGGCGTGGTTATCCTCTCTGCGAGGTGATTTCTCACTTTCTCTCTCACCATCTCTCTCTGTCCAGCAAATACAAAAACCTAAGACAAAAACCTCTAAAAACAAAAGACCCTATTGGGGTGCTAGCTCTCTGTCTCTCCTTCTCTGTCTCTCTTGCTCATGATAGAAACAAATGAAATAAAACTAAAAGAAGTTTATGGAATTATCTGATAGAACAACTGAAAGACGTTCACAGTTATTCATCCAACAGGTACTTAGGAAGGGCTTTGTTAGGTCTGGGGTACCAAAGTGAGCAGTTCTTGGCCCATGCAATTTACATTCTAAAGGGAAAAGCAGACCAAAAAACCCCCCAAAACAAACAAAAAACAGAGGAAGACATAAATAAATCAAATCTTGGAGTTAAGAGCAATGAGGAGAAAAGCCAGGTGAGCTGGTGCTCCAATGGGCTGGGAAGGGCTGTCTGAAGAGATGGCCTTTAGGCAGAGACCTGAACCACTGGGAGAGCCCAGCTCTGGGAGGCTCCTCCTCATCCTCACCCTCACATAGGTGCCAGGAGCTTCCCACCAGCTGCCTCTGCTGCCAGGAGACCCAGCTGGGTCCCAGGGCCCTCCTCAACTTAGACCAAGCTACAAACTGCTGCATCGGCGATTACAAGCCTATTTTCTTTGCATTTATTTATTTATTATCATCATAATCACAGGCCTATTTTCTGTAAGACAGACTTGGCCACACAAGCCCTGCATAGAAGTAATGAAGTAAAGTAACTCCCTACCGCGACTGGTCTGTTCCCCAGAAAGTTCAGATCGCTGTTCTCTCCAAACAGGTAGCCTTCAGGATGGGTTGAGTCAAACTTCTCTCCTCCCATAATGAAGTGGCTGGCAAAATAGCTTCCTAGAGAAGGACACACAGAAAACATTAGACGAAGGCAGTCAAACTGAGCCTACCAAACAAGCTGATGTAAAAGCAGTTAGCCCTTTGGGCCAGGCTTGGTCTGGTTAAGGCGGCCGGGTCCCACATAGCCAACTGCATGGTTCAGGTCAGTGATAGTTTTTGTTGACGATTTGCAGCAAACTGAAGAAAAAAAAAAAAAAAAAACGAGATTCAGCACTTTTAGCTCACGGAGAAGCCATAGGAAGGAAGACAGAGAAGAAAATTCTAACAGGAAAACTGAACCAAACATTCATTTTCAAATTTTCTACACATGGGCATTAATCTAAAACACTTCTTAAACAAAACAGTGTGGACAAAGTCACTCACCACAAAGTGAGGCAGTGCTTGAGTTAAACAACAGGGGACGTTTACTCGAGAGTAAGAGCAGCCCAAATCAAAGCAACCGCTGAGCAACTCTTGGAAGTTACCCACCCCAACTCATGAGCACGGAGCAGCCATCTGCAGCAATATGCCGACCGAGCCATCATTTAGGGACGCTCAAGGATCAATTATTCACGTGGAGCACTAGCTAGCCCTGTTTTCCAAGTGCATAATTTATGGAGAGAAGTGGGGGGCCTCATTACCTTAGGTAGGAGCAGCCATCTCCAATAATTTAAGTCCTGTACATTGAACCTTAGTAAAATATAGGTTTTTTAAAAGAGTTATTTATTTATTTAATTCCATTTGTTATCATTAGTTTTTTTAATTTGGCCAGAGAGAGAGAGAGAGAAAGAGAAAGAGAGAAAGCAAGCCTCCAGGTCTGGGAATCAAACCACGGTCGGCCATGTGGGAATCCAGCGCCTTTAACCACCTGCTGGTCCCAGTAAAATATAGTTTTAATACATTAGGGATAATGTGTTTGTTCTTTATACATCAGGTATAAGGAGAGAAGTTAAGGAATTTATACTTTATACAGACAGCTTGCCTAAATGATGAATAAAGAACAGAGAGGTGGATTTGGGGCCTGGAGCTGGCCAGGTTGAGTGCAGTGTGGGACGGAGCTTCCGGTACTGTGAGCAGTTGGGTGAGGGCCACGGGCAGCGAATTCCTCACATGAGCGCTTACACATGGGTATGATTGAAGTTAGCCAGAGCAGAGCACTAACAACTTGGAGCTGAAGGGTTAAAGTAGGAGACAGGGATGAGGCCAGCAGGTGGCATGCTGGACTCCCAAACGGCCGATTTGAGTCCCTAGACCTGAAAGCTTGCTTTCTCAATTTCTCTCTCTCACTCTGTCCCTATCTGGTCAAATTTAAATAAATAAAGTTAAATAAAATAACTTTTAAAAAAAGTAGGTGACAGGGGTCTATCAGAAGTGCCCTTTTTGCCATAATTTTTTGTGAATTATTTATTTAATTGTATTTATTATTGTTATTTTTAAAATTTTACCAGAGAGAGAGGGAAAGTGAGAAAGCAAGCCGCCAGGTCTGGGACTTGAACCACAATCAGACAGGTGGAAGTCCAGCGCCTTAACCACCATGCTACCCGCCAGCCTCTTGCCATAATTTTTTAAAAGTTTATTTCTTGACCTTTCCAGTGGTGACGACCTCCCCACGAGAACATGCCTCTCTTAAAGGACCTCCTTCACCCCTCTTCAGAAGAGAGGAGGGAACACAAGAAGCAGCGCCTGGTGCAGAGCCCGAATTCCTACTTCATGGATGTGAAGTGCCTGGGATGCTCTACGATCACCCCCGTCTTTAGCCATGCACAGATGGTACTTTTGTGCACTGGCCGCTCCTCTGTCCTCTGCCAGCCCGCAGGAGGAAGAGCGAGGCTCACAGAAGGATGTTCCTCAGGAGGAAGCAGCACTAAAAGCATCCTGGCTCAAGATGAGTGGGAAGCCATCCCAATACACACATTTTGGATTTTAAAAAAAAAGTTATTTTTTGAAATAAAGAGAGACCCTCGCCAGTGTCTCCTCACATCACGAGCCCCTTCCCCAGCCCTTAAGCTCGATGGGATCTTGGGCTGTGTACGGACACTTTTGCCGTAATAGTCAATATTAAAAAAGCAGAAAGTCACGTGGAGCCAATTATAGTGGGTTGTTGGGAAAGTCCTGCTGCATTTTTGCATAGAAAACATAGAAAAATATGTCATGACTTTCCTGATGACCAATATTTTTGTCATCCACTAAAAACCAAGGACAGCACTGTTACACAAAAATCCAAAATTAAGATCAATAACTCACAGACTAAAAGTAGGATTTTGGGGGGTCGGCAGGTAGCATGGTGTTTAAGGTGCTGGACTCCCACATGACCTATGGTGCGGTTCAAGTCACGGACCCAGTGACTTGAGAAACACACCAAGTGTGTGTGTATACGTGCCCAAAATCCTGAGAGGAGAGGGACTGTAGTGTGAGCATGTCCCGTGAGGGGGAGTGCTTTCTCACTTTCTCTCTCTCTTTTTCTCTCTCTGACACATACCCTCTAGTAAAATAAAAAAATTAAAAAATTCAACGTAGGCAACTGGTCAGGAAAAAATGCATTGAATAAAGCAGGCGAGCTGTACACCGACATGGGAATGATTTCTTCAAAGTTTCACAGGCGGCAAAAACGTTCTGACTTTCCGCGGAAAGTAGCTTGACCTTTTGTCCATTACTCAATTAAAAATTCTTTGACTTGGGGCCAGCAGGTGGCATGCTGATTGGGGTGCTAGACATTCTCATATGACCAGCCACGGTTCAAGTCCCGGACCTGGTGGCTTGTTTTCTCACTTTCTCTCTCTCTGAGTCTCTCTCTGGTCAAATTGAAATAAATGAATCAATATATAAAATTAAATAATTTTTAAAAATTCTTTGACAATTTTTTATTTTTCTTTTCTAGGTTTCTGTCATAGGGCATGTAAACTCACTAGAGACAGAAAGAGGGAAAATGAGAAATCACCCCAGGGTGGAAGGCCACATGCAATCCTTTTCCCTCCATTCTCCCCTTGGGATCCTGGGCAAGCACACACACATGCCCACATAGTCGGCTGTGCAGTTCAAGTCCTGTGAAAGTCATGCTGGGTGCATGCATGTGCATGCCCCAAATCCTGGAAAGACTGGAGAAGGGATTGAGGCATGACCATCCTCCCAGGTGGTGGGTGCTTTCTCACTTTCCCTCTCTCTCCAGTGAGCACACATGCTCTGTGACAAAAACTATACAAAATCAAAATAAAAAACATTTAGGTTTTCTTTTTCTCCTACAGAGCACACGTATTTGCCAAAAAACAGAGAGAGGGAAAGTGAGAAATCACACCCCCTCCCGGGGATGGTCATGCCACAATCCATTCTCCTCTGGCCTTGAAACTTTGGGCACGCACACACATGCACTGGCATGATTTTCAAGCCGGAGTTCGGAATCTGAACTGCACAGTTGGACATGTGGGATATAGTGCCTTAACCTCCATGCCACCTGCTGGCCCCGAGGCAGGCTTTCTTGTGCTCACCTTTCAGGTGAGAGCATTAAGGATTCAGAGTTCAGGGATCTGTACAAAGTTCACAGTTGAGAAGCAGCAGAGGCAGAGAAGCCAGGGTTGAACTCCAAGTCTGCCCACCTCTAAATCCCTGGTCACAAACGACATTCCTACCTGACCTCGAGGAGAGGAAAGAACAGTGAGGGGAAGATAGTGGAGACTAATACCTGCCCCGTGTCTCTGTCTCTCTCTGTACACACACATCATTTTATGTCCACTGTTTCACAGCATGTGGAAGGACGACCAGCCGTGTGGAGTCCCGCATGACTCTGCCTTTCCGGTACGGTAATAGGAAAAAGGGACAAGGCATTTGGTGATAAAATGCTCAATCAGGTGAAGCCCAGGGTTCTTCCTTTCTGTCAAAGGCAAACAGGAATTGTAAATCAGACCTGTTACTCTCAAAAACGTCTCTCTCTGGTCAAATTGAAATAAATGAATCAATATATAAAATTAAATAATTTTTAAAAATTCTTTGACAATTTTTTATTTTTCTTTTCTAGGTTTCTGTCATAGGGCATGTAAACTCACTAGAGACAGAAAGAGGGAAAATGAGAAATCACCCCAGGGTGGAAGGCCACATGCAATCCTTTTCCCTCCATTCTCCCCTTGGGATCCTGGGCAAGCACACACACATGCCCACATAGTCGGCTGTGCAGTTCAAGTCCTGTGAAAGTCATGCTGGGTGCATGCATGTGCATGCCCCAAATCCTGGAAAGACTGGAGAAGGGATTGAGGCATGACCATCCTCCCAGGTGGTGGGTGCTTTCTCACTTTCCCTCTCTCTCCAGTGAGCACACATGCTCTGTGACAAAAACTATACAAAATCAAAATAAAAAACATTTAGGTTTTCTTTTTCTCCTACAGAGCACACGTATTTGCCAAAAAACAGAGAGAGGGAAAGTGAGAAATCACACCCCCTCCCGGGGATGGTCATGCCACAATCCATTCTCCTCTGGCCTTGAAACTTTGGGCACGCACACACATGCACTGGCATGATTTTCAAGCCGGAGTTCGGAATCTGAACTGCACAGTTGGACATGTGGGATATAGTGCCTTAACCTCCATGCCACCTGCTGGCCCCGAGGCAGGCTTTCTTGTGCTCACCTTTCAGGTGAGAGCATTAAGGATTCAGAGTTCAGGGATCTGTACAAAGTTCACAGTTGAGAAGCAGCAGAGGCAGAGAAGCCAGGGTTGAACTCCAAGTCTGCCCACCTCTAAATCCCTGGTCACAAACGACATTCCTACCTGACCTCGAGGAGAGGAAAGAACAGTGAGGGGAAGATAGTGGAGACTAATACCTGCCCCGTGTCTCTGTCTCTCTCTGTACACACACATCATTTTATGTCCACTGTTTCACAGCATGTGGAAGGACGACCAGCCGTGTGGAGTCCCGCATGACTCTGCCTTTCCGGTACGGTAATAGGAAAAAGGGACAAGGCATTTGGTGATAAAATGCTCAATCAGGTGAAGCCCAGGGTTCTTCCTTTCTGTCAAAGGCAAACAGGAATTGTAAATCAGACCTGTTACTCTCAAAAACATTTTCTTTTCCATGTTAACTTCTTGTTTTGTCTACATGTCTAGTGGAAGAACCAATAATTTTGAGGTACAGCCTCCAGGTCCACCGTAAAATAGAACCAAAAAATACATGACCCACGCTGCCCAAGTTTATATTTTTGCAAACCAAAGCAAGAGATGTCTGAACTTAGGGAAAAATTTTAGGACGTGCAGTGTTTCAACACGTACACAAATTACTGTACAATGTCCCAAAGCATCATCAGAAAGAACGAAACATGACAGGAGGCCAAACCTGACACTGACTCTGAACATCAGTAAGAGGAATTACAAAGATAGACTAGACTAACGAGCAACGGCTACAATTTCTGGAGCTCCCGTTTAGAGGTCCTACCTGGTAGAGAAGATACAGAAACTCACCTTCCGCTTGGCCAGGCTGCCATATGGAACTGACTACACTCAGTGTTCTAGCTCTCATCCAAGGGTGCCTTGTGTGCAGACCGGACCATGGCATGGTGCGGTGGGAACCAGATCCCACACGGCCCAGGACCATTGCTCGAGTCCTGGAAAGACACACTGATGCTTGTGCATGCCTGCCCCAAATCCAGACAGGCTGGAGAAATGGAGAAGGGATTGCAGGACGACCTGCCCCACTTGGGAGAGCTTTCTCCCTCTCCCTTTGTATCTGTCTTTACATGTACCCTCTGGCAAATTAAAAAAAAAATGCCCTGTATAAATGTCCATCAACAAAAACATATTTTAATAAATCTATTACTAGAATGTTATTTATAACCATCAAAATGTCAATGCTGCCAAAGACCCTTTTTTTTTTTTAAGGTTTGGGGAAAGTGTGTAATCACCCCCCACGGTGGATGGCCATGCTGCAGACCCTTCTCTTTCATTCTGCTATTCTGCTTCTGGTATTTTGGGCACACACACATGCCTGGAGTGATTTTCAAGTCGCCAGGTCCAATACTTAAACCACAGCCATGCCGGAGTCCAGCACCTTAACAACCACACCACCTGCTGGTCCCATCAGACATTTACTGAGCAAAAGATACAAGTTACAGAAGAGCAAGTCTGGTTTTACCTATTTATGTAGGTCTATATGTAGGGAGATTCCTGAAAGGACATTCACTGAAATGTTACAGTGGTTTCCTCTCTGAGTGGAAGGATTTATTTATGGTGGTTTTTACTGTCATCTTTTTGTCTCTTTTCTGTATTGATTTAGTTTTGTGTGTTTTTTTTAATATAATGGATATCTATTATTTTTATAATGAGGAAAAAATAAAGCTCCATTCATTAAAATAATATGTCTCAAAGATTTGCCATACTGCTTCAAAGAATTAATACCTCTCTATACAAAGCAATCTTTAAAAAGCTTAAAATTGTGGGACCAGCAGTTAGCGTAATGGCTATGTCGCTGGACTCCCACGTAGTCGACCGCGGTTTACGTTACAGACTCGGTGGCTTAAAACTCACGCAGGGCGCGTGTGTGTGTGCGTGCCCAAGATCTCGGGAGGAGAATGGAGGAGAAGGGATTGTGGCGTGGCCATTCCCCCTGGGGGGGTGATTTCTCGCTTTCTGTCTCTCTGTCTCTGTCTGTCTGGCGAGCGCACGCACCCTATAGCAAAAAACCTCTCCAAAAAAAAAAAAAAAAGCTTAAAATTGTAGGACTGGCAGGTGGCATGGTGGTTAAGGGCACTGGACTCCCATATGGCCAACCATGGTTCAAGTCCTGGACCTGGCAGTTTGTTTTCTTGCTTCCCCCCCACCACACACACACACTAGCGCACACACACTCTATCCCTCTCTGGTCAAATTCAAATAAATAAATAAATAAATTTAAATAAAATAAATTTTTTTTAAGAGATTTTGCTATAGGGCATGTGCACTCGCCAAAGGCAGAGTGAGAAAGAGAGACAGAAAGTGAGAAACCACCCCCCAGGGGGATTCTCAA